GATGATGATGATGGTTATTGATGATGATGGTGGATCTTTAATACTAATATTTACTTATACTATTCACAGTTTACTGTTGGAACTATCTCCCAGCATATCCCCCTTGTGCCTTCAGTACAACCTCTCAGCTGAGTCAGCCTACGAGACAGCGGTCCATACTCTAATAAACAGAAATAATGCACAGGCAATATGGCTGGAGTATCTCTTCTATAAGACGTCAAGAATGACAGCACACACTGCATCATCCAATTCAGATTCTCTAAAGCCTTTGGATGATCTTGTGAATAGGTGCCTTGTGTCTGTTAGTGCTGGTAAAACCTTGCCTTACTCTACATCAGAGTCTTGGTTGGACTACAGCTTTCACAACCAGGTATTTACTTTAATACTTGTTTTCATAGACCCTTTAAAGTACCTCGGACTGCAGCTCAATTTGAAGGACACAACAATAGATTTCCAATTCTCTGGAGATTGAAATTCTTTTGTTTTGTCCTCCAAATTGAGTGCCTTTGATGTCACATGCAAGGGGTCTATTGTTACAAGCTGATTGAGATGAAACACTTGGAACAGGTTATTAAGCAATAGACTACCGTCAATGACTTAGCTTAAAATAATAAATACTACAAGTTTTTTTCTTCCTTTTTTTTTCTCTTTAAGGTCATCAATCTGTACCTTGGTTGTCTCCCACAATCATTATGGTCAGCTGTATATAACAAGTATCTTAAGCTATATCCTAGCAACCTGCAGTTAGCCATACGGTAAACACTAACCTGTCTCTTTAAATTTACATTTCTTTCATTGATAGTTCCTGCACTTGTTGTAGCAAATGAGTAGAGTTTGGTGGGTGTCTCCCTTGTTGGGTGTTGGTTGTTGTGTTGGAGTTATCCATCCCTGACTTTGATCAATACTTAAGATTTTCAGGGTTCAATCTGTAAGCTAGCCATGCTTTGACTTTGATAACCCACAAAGGTCGTTTCAGGGTTCTATCTGTGAGTTACCCATTCCCTGACTTAGATCAGCCCAGTTGTTGTTTCAGGGTTGCTCAATCTGTGAGCTAGCCATGCCCTGACTTAGATCAGCCCAGAGGTTATTTCAGGGTTCTATCTGTGGGTTAGCCATGCCCTGACTTAGACCAGCCCAGAGGCTGTTTCAGGGTTCTATCTGTGAGTTAGCTGTGCCCTGACTTAGATCAGTCCAGGGGTTGTTTCAGGGTTTGATCTGTGAGTTAGCTGTGCACTAACTTAGATCAGCTGAAAGGTTGTTTCAGGGTTCTATCTGTGAGTTAGTTGTGCCCTGACTTAGATCAGTCCAAAGGTAGTTTCAGGGTTCTATCTGTGAGTTAGCTGTGCCCTGACTTAGATCAGCCCAGAGACTGTTTCAGGGTTCTATCTGTGAGTTAGCTGTGCCCTGACTTAGATCAGCCCAGAGACTGTTTCAGGGTTCTATCTGTGAGTTAGTTGTGCCCTGACTTAGATCAGCCCAGAGACTGTTTCAGGGTTCTATCTGTGAGTTAGCTGTGCCCTGACTTAGATCAGTCCAGGGGTTGTTTCAGGGTTTGATCTGTGAGTTAGCCGTGCCCTGACTTAGATCAGCCCAGAGGTTATTTCAGGGTTCAATCTGTGAGTTAGCCATGCCATGTCATTATTCAGCCCAGGGGTTATTTCAGGGTTCCATCTGTGAGTTAGCCATGCCCTGACTTAGACCAGCCCAGAGGTTGTTTCAGGGTTTGATTTAAAAAAGAAAATTGTTTTGGCAACTTGTTTTCCAATAATCAGGCAGATGACACAGATAGATCATAACAGCTTGTTTGTGTTACATCTTTGTTGCCATTTTGTTTGTTTGTTTCCAGGGCTTGTGAGCATGAAGCAAGCACAGGATGTGTTGACCAGGCCATCAAGATAGCTTCAATCTTCTTAGCCGAGCACCCATCATCAATCACTATGTGGAAAATGTACTGTTCAAAATTCTTCATCACTCCCATTTTCCATTTTTTCTTTTTTCATTTTTTCTCATTCCTTTTCATTGTTGTTTTTACTATTTCATTCATATTCCATCTTTCTACTTTCTTTATTTTATCAATCACTACAGTGAAAATGTACTGATCTTTTCTCATACCCCTTTTTATTTCCTTCCCTTTAACAATTTCTATTTTCCCAGATTCAATATAGGAATAAGGTCAAAACAACAGGCATCTTACCCTATCTCAGAGGGGAGGGGTGGGAATATCCTTATAGGTACCACCTCTGGAAGTTAAATCCTGGATCTCATCCTTAAACATCACCWAAACTAAAAGTCAAATTGCAGAATAAATGCCTGCCATACTGTTTTTTTTTCAAATGTTCCTTTATATTATCCCTTTCTGTATCATTGTTTTATTCTTCATTGTCCTCTACTAAGCTTCTGTTGGCTTCAATCACATTTTGCTCTGCAGATTGATCTCATTAAACCTTCAAAGAAAACACACCAAGGAGGTTAGTATATCATAGCATTCCCTTCCCTTTTCCTTTTCCATTCTCTTTTCCTTTTCCATTCTCTTTTCCTTTCCTGTTCTCTTTTCCTTTCCCATTCTCTTTTCCTTTCCCATTCTCTTTTCCTTTCCCATTCTCTTTTCCTTTCCCATTCTCTTTTCCTTTCTCTTTCATTTTATTGTCATATTTTATTGTCAGGCTCACAAGTTGTACCAGCAGTCAACAGATGCACTTCCATTTGCCGCAACACTCTGGAAAGATGTAAATTATCAAGGCCTTTACTTCAACTCTCTATTATTTACTTGTTTGTTTTTCAATTAGCCAATTTGTACTAATTTCCCCACTGCACAATTTATTCTCCTGTACAAACCCTTTTAAATTATGCCATTTTAGGATTAATCCCATTTATTCTGTCACATTTTAAGT